ACGTCGGGCAAGAAGCCGAACGGGCCGAGAGGCGGAGAGAGGATGAGGCCGACGGCGGCTGTCCCGAGCTGTGCACGGTGATCGCCTCCCCCGGAGGAGGAGTTGCCTAGGCTAGACCATTGCCACATTTCTTGTTTTCCTTCCTACCCACCCACCCCGGTATTACATTGGCTGCTGGAGGGGACCGGGAGAGACGGAGGAGGCGCCTCGCTTCCCCCCTCGCGCCCGCCACCCCTGCTCTTCCCCGTCCCGGGCCAGGATGACTGGAGTCTTTGACAGTTTGGTGGCTGATATGCACTCGACCCAGATCACGGCCTCCAGCACGTTCCACCAGCAGGAGTCGCCGACCCTCCCGGTGTCCACGGCTACCGACAGCAGCTACTACACCAACCAGCAGCACCCGGCGGGCGGCGGCGGCGGCGGGGGCTCGCCCTACCCGAACATGGGTTCCTACCAGTACCACGCCAGCGGCCTCAGCAACGTCCCTTATTCCACCAAGAGTGGCTACGACCTAGGATACACCGCCTACACCTCTTACGCGCCCTATGGGACAAGTTCGTCCCCGGCCAACAACGAACCTGGTGAGCATAACGCTGGCGTCAAGGGTGCCAAGTCGGCCTAGCTACTGCCATGGGTGGGATAAAAATATTTGGGGCGGGGATCTCTCCGGAGCCGGGCCTCTTACCCTACCTGCTCCCGGCCCGCCCTGCGCCCTCACCATTCTCAACCTCCAATCTGCCGAGGGTCACTGGGTACGTCCCTCGGTGCTCAGCGGGTCCTACCGGGTGGCCTGGGGGAGGGGGGGCGTGGTGCATGCCTCTTGGTAACCTCATTTCCTCGCCACCTGCTTCTTTCTCTCCCGTATGCGCTAGTCTTCCCCTTCGCTGGTGGGCCCAGCTCCAGGGTTTGGGGGCGGCAGGGGTCCGCGCCTGAGCATCCCCCTCCCGGCTCCGGCCAAGTCCCACGCCGCCGGGCCTTGCTGCGGGCGGGAACTCTTGGGCTCCCGGGTTGCGCGATTCTCAGGATTCCGGATCGTTGCAGAGAAAGAGGACCTGGAGCCCGAAATTCGGATCGTGAACGGGAAGCCAAAGAAAGTCCGGAAACCCCGCACCATCTACTCCAGCTTCCAGCTGGCGGCTCTTCAGCGGCGTTTCCAAAAGACTCAGTACCTGGCGCTGCCCGAGCGAGCTGAGCTGGCCGCGTCCCTGGGCCTCACCCAGACTCAGGTGAGCGCTCGCGGCTGGGCGTGGGGGCAGGAA